AGAAGAACTTAACAGAAGGAGGCCAGATATATACACAACAGTAGAATGCCAAGTATGCCAAGATAAAGTAAAAGAGATACAAACATACTTGGCAGCATGTAAAGGACAAAAAAATCTCTGGAAGAGAATCCAAAAAGTAACCATTGCAACAACATGAAAGAAGTTAAAGGAAAATGAAAAGATTCAAATTTCCCTATATATATTATATACAGTATTCTTCGAAAAAACAGAAACAGAAAAAGTTAAAATAAGAGAAGCATTAATAAAAGGCTTAATTTTAAAAAAAACACAAGACGAACTAGTGAAGCTATTAAACACAAGATCAAGATAGCAGTTTGCAAATACAGTAGCAATAATGGCCTAAGACATATTCTACAAATAAGTATAGAGAATACATTGTGAAAAAATCATCGAATGGAAGGAAAAGAATAGAATAACAGATAGAACTAAAAGAAAAAAAGTGAAAATTTAAAGGAACCAAAAAAAATGAGAAAAGGCAAATTAGAAAGAAAGAGAAGAAAAAAAAGAAGAAATGAGAGAAAAAAGGAAGCAAGTTGAGAAAAAAGTAATGAAGACAATGTTGGGACTTGTTATGAAAGAGAGAAGACCCTTTTATTATAGACTTTAAGTAGTCAGATGAGCAGCTTACTTCTGTTCAAAGTAATGTAGCAGGTTGCACTTAGGTACCAATAAGGTAGCTAGGTGATGCTAGACTTAGATATTAGAAATATTTATATAGTTACAAATGTAATTTCAAAAACCTAATAAGTAACTCGTGTGACTGCTTATATGTTAAAATAATAATAATAATAATAATAATAAAATAATTTATTCTATAACAGTACATTAAGCAAAAAGCTACAGAAGCCAGATGTCTGATGCAAAAATATACTTTAAAGATGCTTAAAAAAATTAGATAAGTCTAATAAAAAACAAATATTGTTAGTAAAGAGTCAAGTTTTAAGCTTTGCATCTTTTTTTAATAGATTCTTGTAATAATATAGTACAAGGCAAGGTTTAATATAGTGACAAACTAAAGAATTCAAGTATTTGGTTTAGAGGTATTAGTAATTATAAAGAGAACCTATTTGAAAAAAAACTAAGTTTAATATTGTAATAGAAAAAAGTTAATCTATCAAAAAGAATATTGTATTTTTTTTGTTCAAGTTATGGCTTTTGTAATCTTGAAAAAATTGTATTATCTATATAATATCATTTTTATACTATATTTTAAGATTTTTAAAGTCAAACTTTTACTAATTAAAACAATTTATTTATAATATATTATTAGCAATTTGAATATTAATAATTCAAACAACACTAATTTCAATATAATAAATAGATGACAGTATACTTAATGCATTAAAAAAAAGTTTTAAACATTCTAATTTAACTTATTAGATTATTATTAACCTTTATCTATTATAATTAGAAATGCAAAATGTTTATTCAGTTATTAATGAACAAGAAAAATCTGAAGCAGCTATTGTTAATAAAAGCATTGAAGTAACTACTATTAATAGAAGTTCTGAACCAACTATTACTAATAACAAATGTAAAAGAGATAGCAAAAAACTATTATGAATTTTCAAAGAAAATCACTTTACTAAATATGATTCTTTAAAAAGTAAGCTTACTTATTTATAATTTATAATTATTAACAGTATTAATAAATTACACCAATGGTGTTTAATATCACAATTACTATATCTCAACAACTGTTCAAATAATTAAGACTGAATGTACTAAGTAAAAACTGTTCAGCATTTTATAAAACAGTAATTTTATTTTTAGTTCTAATTTTTAATTTATAACTTCTAATTTTAACTCTAACCTTAAATATTAGCAACAAAATTCAAAAAATTATATGATGTTGAACATTATAAATATGGTTTAAATTTTTTAATTATTAATTATATTAATTAGTTAACATTTATATTATGTAATCATTAGAGGGTTTTATTTAATGTACACATTGTAAAAATAAATTAAAGCATAATAATAATACCAAAACCAGTTCTTTAATTCATTATTTAAAAAATACCAAATGTAAAAAATATTTAAAAACTGATAATTCTCAACAAACACTGCAGTTATCTTTATCAGGTCTTGTTATTTACAAGTTTTCTCAATTAAAAAGCCATCAGGACATGGCAGAAATAATTATTAAATATGCATATCTATTTTATATAGTTGAGTATAAGAAATTTCTAACTTTCATTAATGGCTTGCAGCTATAGTATAAAGTAATAAATGTAAAGACTATATGTGATGATTGCATAATTATTATTGAAGAACTTAAAACAAAAGTTTATAAGATAATACAAGAATCACCTAGTAGTTTAAGCTATATAACTAATTTATGAATATCAAATCAAACTGTTAGATATATGACCATTATTTGTCATTTTATCAATAAGGATTGAAAGCTTTGAAAGTTAGTTCTGATATTTAAAAAAGTTCCTACATCACATATGAGAATTGCTATTTGTAAGACACTCTTTAAGTGTTTTGATAATTGGAATATTGCATCAAAAACATTAGCAATCACTATGGACAATATAACTAGCAATGATTCTGTCATAATATATATAAAAAATAAGCTTAAAAATCAAAATATACTTATTGCAAATGGTGATAGTAAATTAATTTTATATAAATATTTTAAGAGGTAGTTTGCAGTTAAAGAATATAATCATTACTAAGTATTATAAACAGAACTTATATCATTATTATATAAAAGTTATAGCAAAATGCCTGCTATATTTTATATCTTTTAATTGCAGACTATTTCTTAAATTTTAAAAAAAATTGTTTATTGTAATAAAGCTATACAAAATTAATTTCTTGGTTTTAATAATATAAAACTTTAAATAACTGGTTATTAAAAATTTAATTTGGTTGGCTATAAAAACTAATTAATTAATTTTATAGGTCTAAGTTTTAAATTTTTTTTTAATAATTTTGTATATATTATATATAGGAATTTTGTTACATCAATGATGCTATGCATATGTAATAAACCTTATAGTTAGTGATGGTCTTAAAATAGTTAAAAATATTATATACAAAATTTGAAAATGTGTAAAGTGAGTTGATGGTTTATCACTTTGGCAACAGAACTTTGAAGATGCTGTAATTAGATATTGCAATAAGCTCAAATTTAGTTTGTGACCAACTCTAGATGTACCTACTTATTGAAATTCAGTATATTTGATATTAGCATCTACTATTTCTTACAAAAATGTATTTGAGTGTTTTGCATTACAAGATTTAATTTTTAGGCAAATTATATTTTCTAAAGAAGATTGAGAAAAGGCTGAGTATATTTGTAATTTTTTAAAACTGTTTTATAAAGGTAATTAAAGATATTAATTATCCAGACTGAGTTATTAACATTCCTAAAAAAATTATAAATTTTTGGCATGTTTTAAACTTTCTTCATATTTATTAAACATATATTAAATAATATTAATTTTAATAAAGTTATAACTATTATATCAGAAAGTGTATATACAATAGCAAACATTATACTTCCCCATATAGTGAAACTTAAAATGCATCTTGAACAAAACATTACTAATATAAAGTTCTTTATTTGTCAAATGGTTACACTTATGCTATTAAAGTTTAATAAAAATTAGACTAATGTAAAAAATATTGCTTTGATAATAGATTCATGCTATAAAATATTATTATTGGCTCATATATAAGCAAAAAATGTATTTATTATCTGCTAAAGCAAAAAATAAATTAAAGATAATTAAAATAAGGTAATTTATACATATTATTATTATTTTTTAATATTATTTTACTTATTTGTAATTATTATATTATATAGAACTATAATAATTTATAAATCAGCATATAAGAAAAATATAATTTCTTCTAGTAATTTTTCTAATAATTTTTCATAGAAAGATAAATTTATAAAAAATTTTGATCATTTTTTTGAGGATAATTAAGTTTATACTACAAATAAAATTTATGAATTAAAATAATATCTCACTGATCTACTTCTTTCTTGTTTTTATACAGAATTATTTGATATCTTAAATTAGTAAAAAAAAATAAATTAAAATATCTATTTGTATTAAAAATGGTCAGAGATATTCTTGCTACTTTATAACTTCTGTTGCCTCTGAGATAGTAAAGTTTTTAACTAAGTACTGTATTATCTTTTTTTACAATATATAGTCTAATTCATGTTGTTTGTAACTAATGCTAAAATTTGGCTATTGCTGAAGTTAATTAATACAATTTTTTTAAATAATTTTAGCTTTAGCCAACTTTTAGCATCAATTACAATATTATTTATTTAAATATTCAATACAGCAAAAAGAATTATTGATGACTATTGGTTAAATCTTATCCTAGAAACTATCGAAGCATTAATATGTAATTAAGACTGATTAAATTATACAAAAAAAGAATGCTGAGATAATTTAGAAAACAATAGACCACATATGTAAAACTGGCTTTATTTTTGTAAGATCTTTTTTTTATGTATGTACATATGTACATACCTTATGTAGCATATTTAATTTATTTGTTTTACAGATTTGTAACATAGTGACTAATTAATTATATCTTGATTATTTGTTATCTTTTTCATAGTTGTAGGATAGATTTATCTGCAAATTATTTTAGAATTTATGCAATATGAAAGCATATACTATTACAGTTATAAATTTTAAAGAAAATATAATGTTAAAAGAATTTTTGAAGGATATAATCTGATTATATAAGATAAGAGCAAGAATGGTTCATGCATAAGTTGTTGAAATATTTTTATATAATAAGTTTAAATGTTATATCAATATAGAAAAAAAGGATCAAAAAAAATAAAGAATTTATATACAAGTTTTAGTTGCTTACATAAAGTGCATATTAATAATGATAAAAGGTTATAATTAAATTATATATTTTATTTGAGTAAACTGATTTCAAATATGTTATAAAAAAATTATAATTTATGAATATATAAAAAAAAAATTTGAAATAAAGAAATTAAACTTATTATATTTTGTATATAGATTTAAATTGCGATTTATATATTTGTAATATATATAGTTGGCATTGATTTTGTAATTTTAGTAGGGTTCAGGGCATGGGAAAAAAATTAGACATGCCCATATAAGCATGCCCCTGAGCTAAGGCATGCCCTTCATGCCCATGGGCATGCCCTTTTTAAATCATATGATTAACACATAGTTCACAACTTCTTAAAAATCTTACATGTTGATTTAGTATCTGTGGTTCTAGTTTACCTGAACTTATTAGCCAATTAAAATAACTTTAAACATTACATGACAAGGGCATGCCTTTTGGACTTGAGGCATGCCCTAAGGGCATGCCCTTAGAGGCATGCCTCATGCCTCTGTGCCTTAAACTCTAAATTTTAGCATTCAAATCAGGAATCTAAAAAAGTCTAGATTATAATTTAGCTTGAACAGGAATTGTAGCAAATCATATAATATTATAGAGTAAAATTCATATTGAATAAAGCATCATAAAAACAACAAATATTTTAAACAACTATAATTCATAATTGTTTATTTAATTTAAATCTGTTAAAAAATATATAAAATCGATTTGCAGCTGTTTTTATAAATTTTTGAACATCTAGTGAAAAATTTACCAAATAATTGTTTAGCTGAATTAGCCAAACAATCATTCAGTTAATTTTTTATTATATATTTAAAAATTTATAAGAACAGTTGTAATATTTTATATAATTTTTAGGCTGGGTTGGGCTTAAATATAATTTAAATAAAGCCTAGTCCAGTCTTATATCTGCAGGTTTTTATTAGATTTGGGCTTTAATTAGGCTTAAAAATTTTTGATTGGATATGTTTTGGGTCCAAAAAAGCCTGACCTAACTCAGCCCATTTCACATTCTAAATGCAAACCAATAATCCACAAATGCAAGCAAATAATCAACAAATACAAACAAATAATTAACAAATGCAAGCAAATAATTAAACACAAGTCAACAAACAGGCTAATGATCAAGTCTGTGAACAGATTAATATTATTAAAATTTATTTATATATCGATATATAGATATAGCCAAACCTTTCTATAATCATACACTTGAAATATATAAAAGTGTAATTGTAAAGAAATGTAACAATTATATATTTAATAATAATTTGTTTTTTAAAAAACATGTTTATGAAGAAAATATGCTTATATAGAAGGTGGCTATAGAGAGATTTGACTATATATATATATATATATAAACATTAAATTTTTTAATTTTGATTTAAAAAATAAGTTAGCAGAAACAGAAGATGCATTAAAAGCTTTAATGATATCATCAAAAAAGCCATGCAAGCCAAAGATACCAAGAAAGATAGAGCAAGTAGTTGAGATTTTGACTGCTGCCACACTTTGCAAAATGATTATTCTTGTTATTATAAATAATATAACCTTTAAATCAATAAAAGAAATATTGGTTAATCTATATAAACTTATAACAAAGTTAGAAGAGAATGTTAAAAACTGTAATGTATTAAAAATATGAAGGTGGTATGATTATGGTGAAAAATTTGAGAATCAGATAAAAAAATTAACAAATA